GAAAGAGTGGAGCCCACAGTGTAGAAATGTAGTAGTAATTCTGTAGTAGAACTGTATTTCTGTAGTGCAATGCCATAGTTCTGAAAGGAATTTCAGAGCAGCTGTTACAGAAGAAAGATGTATATATGCAAGGATGTACTGATCAGATGTTTAAGACCAAATATGTTGTCAGTGGAAGTAACTGCAGCTTTACAGAGCTAGCTGTTCCCAGCTACCTTCTGTATTGTCCCTTCTTTTGTGTCCTTCCACTAATAGAGAAGTTTGGGAAGAGGTGTTGTCACTGTGCTTTCCCACTCACAGGTAGTGCTATTGTGTAGACATCTAAGGAAATGTGTACCTTGAATCCTGCAGAATACACTGTTCTATAATTTCTTTTGCAGATAACATACAGATGTCTGTATGTAACGTAGGATTATTATTATTACAGTAATGTAAGAACATGCAGGCTGATCAGAGAATAAATAAGTATACTTTAAACGGCATGTGTTTATATAGAAAAGCATGAAGCAAAGCCAAGGAAACCAGGAACTTGAGTAGGTGAAGCTTTTCAGTAATGTAGCTTATAGTTCGAGTGATGCACAGTCTTCTCAGTAGTCCTTACAGTATGACACAGAGCGTATCTCAGATACCTCTTACAAATATGTGTCCTCGTTTCTAGGAAATCAGAATGCACTTTGAGGCTGTACAGTACAAATAGCTGAGTGGGAGACACATTTCAAGTAGATAACAAGATACTTCCAGAAGAGTTTGGCCATTTTTCAAAATAAAGTAGCGGTTATCAAAACTAAAACGAATAATCCATCAGTTTTGCACATAAATTCAAAGGTATAATAATTTACCTCAGGAACCATAATGTCTTACTCTGAAAAAAATATGCTGAAGTATAGTCACAAAATCTCACACTTCCTCTGTTCCAATGTAGTGATTCTCTTACAGTATAATAGAAAAACCCACAAAATCTATTCTAAAAATCCTATGAAACTAAGTCATCCTGAGAATGTTACACAATTTTGATTGAAAAAGCCTAATACTTGTCCTGCATGTCAGGATTTTTTTGGTGGATTAAACCAAAGATGCAGCTATGTTTCGATTCCATAAATCACAAATTTAAAATACTTTGTCTAACTTTCAATGAGAGCTTTGTTATTAAAACAAAGATCATTTTCCAATGAGAATAGTATTAACTTGGTGTAAATTGCTAAAACTTGTATTTCTTTAATAAGAATTATTGGTGGATTTATTAAAATAAATAAAAAGCAGAAGTTCTCAACTGCATAATTTAGAATATAAAAATGAACACCAACAACCAGAAAAAGCATATCCAAATTACATTCTGTGACTTTATTGTAGCAAACATATTTAAACATGTTCAGGATGTGATTTTGTCCTGTGTATTATGACTTAAGATACCTGTAAGTCAGCAAGGATGGTTCATCACATCCAGTTTCTAATTTTGCTCTTTCTACTATTTTTAATCTTTAAGAAAAATATGGGTTTAATCCTTCATACTTCTAGAAATATTATTGTAAAAAAAGTCTAATTTGTTAGATACTGCACATGGAGTTGAGTACATTTGATCAAATTCTGAAGTTGTTT